GCTCTGGTTATAAGGCCACTGAGGTGTTTAAAGAAAGAAAAATAATTGGATAGCCTAATCTGTCTTTAAAGTCAGAAGAAAAGAGAAAAAAAAAATCCTTGTATGTAATTTGTAAACTACAGATCCATGGAATTGGTCTTACGAATCTATTGATCTGCAAATGAGTTCCACCCCCCAATCCATAAACAATTATCACCAAAGATCCAAGAGTGGAGTGCAGCATAAACTTTGGTGTGATTACTGTTTGTTCTGTAATAATATTGAAAATTGTAAACTGTATACAGAAATACGAAGGAGCCTTTTTCCTACTATATCCTGAGTGCAAAGGACAGCTTGAATAATGATTGGAAAGCTTACACCTGAGTTATAAGGTATAAGTTGGAATGTGTTTATATGTGTAACCGCCATAGGACTCTCATGTGGAGATGTAAATGATGGGTTTACAGATGATGCATGAGGTGAAATTTAATTAATTTTCTGTGGGTTTTCTGCTAGACATGGTAAAAGTTATTTTGAAAATACTTATATGCAGACAGTCAATGAGGAGTTTCTCATAGCCTTTTGGACTTCTTATAAAATGGTGTAATTCCCATACAAAGCTACACTGTGTCTCTTTCCACGTGTCTGTTAAAAAATGTGGCTTTGAACAGAACCCTCTTTTATAAAGTTATAAAGCACTTCACAAGTGCTGAGTAGCCAATGTTGCTATTGAAGCAGATGGTACAAGCAAGCTTGTCAACCAGGAGCCAAGGAGGGCTGTGGTGTTTCAATTTAATCCATACAGCGCCTTAAAGTCGCTGGTCAGCAGGGAGGCACAATGAGGGCAGGTATCAGTGGTGCCAAAAGGACAATATGGGCATGTCCCTCATACTCTCAGGGGAAAGTGTTCTGAAACTGTATTCAAGCTACTAATCTGGGCTTATTGATTTTGCATTACTGCTACATGGACCAGGGCACTATTTCTAAATGTAACTAGAACATGGTTATGAAAATGCACAAAACTTTTGAGTGAGCACCAGTCTTTTGTGCTACATTAAATGTACTGATAAATCTAGTGCTGGCTCCAATATGTGTTTGGGGGTAATATAATTGGTTACTGCTTGCCACTGCAGAAAATATGAAAGATAGCCTGGTGAAAGACATCCTTACGTGGACACATCCCAGCAATGGACTTTGGTCCTCCCTCAGCATGAAGAAACTTATGTAAGCTCTAGATGCACTCTCTTAAAATTAAATGCTGTCTCAAATTCATCACAGATTTAACATAATCAGAGATTAAGTTAATTAATTTTGATAATTTTTAATAATTTAAATATATAATCAGTAATATAAAGTAATAATGTGCAAAAATGCACATTAATAATGTGTGTTCATGTAAACAATAGCAACAATTACCTAAACAGAATTCCAGTCTTAGGCAAGCTGCAGATGTTTGAACTACTATTCTTAGTCATTCCAAAAATGCTTCATTTCCTTAGTTATTGCATTACTGGGTGTTTTCATCTTACTTGGCTTATTTTGCAGTCTAACAGGATCAGTTCTAGGTCAGTAAATAATGATCCATAATAAGGTAGTAGCCACAGCTGTTGACCCCAGACATAATTATGGTAGGTGAGCTTGCCATGTTCTGCATGTTTTACTGCCAGTTACCACAATGCCTGTTGGTCACCATAATACATATTTTGTACAGCAGTTCAGTAAAAATATTGAAGTAGGTAGGTAAAAAAGGTGTAGGCTTATTTAATCAATACCACCCTGTATTGTAAAAAAATAAAAAGCAAAATTAGAGTAATTTAAAAATGTCCAACTTCTACATGATAGAATTTTATGCATTCTTGTTCAACTATTGTAGTCCTTATTCATATAAAATTTTGTATTAAAGGGCCATAATATTCAATAGGAAATTAAATATCACAAAAGTTCATTAGTGTATAGAACAGGCAGCATTTGTCATTATGCAGATGTGTCACCCTAAGACAAAGGGTAAAACTGGACCATTCATTTAGCTGCAGGCTAGAGCAAACTCCTCTTCTTGAATAAAGGATTGAGAGGGATGAGACTAGAAAAGGCCATGTGCTATTTTACACTGTTATTACCAAAAGCGTTAGGCAGCACATAATAGTGACTATCAGAAATGCAAGCTAGAGAAATAAAGTAAGAGAAAATCAAATCACTGTCTGCAAAATGACACACCAAACTTTATCAGTATGCTGACCTAAAGGCATCTTGTCTGGCAGAATAAATACAGGTGATTTAGCCTTTCCACGCAGAATCATCATCTCTGTTTACTGTCCCTTTGTACACCATCTTGTTTCACACTGTACACCATCTTGTGTTCCCCCTGTGTACAAAACTCACTTCTCAGGCACTACTGATGAGAAAATGCTGTATGTTTAGTAAGCTACTGAGTTACTTTATAACCAGAACAAAGACTCACCTAGTCAACTTTATCTGCCTCCAGCCCTGGTTAACAGCAGATCCCTAAGCCATACTATAAAAACGGAACAATCAAGTGGTGTTTCCTGTAGACCATTTCCTCCTCATCTGCAGTTTATGAATTTCATTAACCAAGTTTATTTGTATTTAATGCCCTCATAGATTTTTCTCCTTGCTTCCCAAACTCATGTAAATTTAAGTTTTTCAGGTCTTTCAGCAAAACATTCTTCAGAGTAACACATTTTGGTTGTTTGAACCTACCATCTACTACTATCAGTATTCTAGATTAATAAATTCTACACTTTCTGTAATCTGGATTACTAACACCTATTAATAATCCCCTGTACTTCTTATGGGAACCTTGGTCAAAGTGTTAATTGCATACTTTTCATGTCTTTGTTCCACCGGTCAGAGAAAGATGACCTTGGTATGGGCCAATATAATTCTGTTGGTACTCGTCCCATCTGAGTGACTTTTCTGGTGAGACTGCACTCTTGGTGCATATGTAAATTTTCCCTTATGCCTTTATCCTGTGTTTTTGCATCATCTGTATTTCCTTAATTAGAGTGAGAATGAGTCCCTTTCCTGTACCTGCACATTCTGTTTCCAAACCCAGTGTATCTGAACCCCAGCAGTGCCAGGTGCTAGTTAACACTTTCACTGAAGTATACTATTCATCTTATTTCAATGCATGGTTTCCACAAGGTCTGTTTTATCACCATGGAGTAAAGAAAACAATGCCAATATATATAATAAAAACAAAGGGATTGTGGCCACTTACCAAGTGAAGATAAGACATAATAAGGTGGATATTAAAATGAGGACTTGATTAAACATTGCGGACTGTGTGCGTTGGATGGCTCGGTGAAGATCATTCTGTGTTAATGGAAAATAGGTGTTATTTTTGGTTTTGAATTACTAAGCCATGAGCTGATTCTATAGAGGAATTATATAGTGCCCTGATAGAAATGCAGTCATTCAAATGCACTTAGAATTTGCTGAAAATATAGAAGGGTGCAAAAGAACCAGCTGTGATTCTGTGATTATTTAACTGGTTCTTTGTTCGTCCTGGCACAATTCTGATACTATTGCAAGCTGCCTTAAGGTCTGTCTGCTCATGTCTAGCTTACAAATTACAGGCTGCAAGGACCAATTAAGGTCTAACAGTTGAGTTCCCTGCAATTGTGCATGAATGGCTGAGTAGCAAAAGAACCATCCACTGCCATTTCCTTTATTGGCACAGTAACAATTTATCCTAATTGAGATTTCATTTCACGTCTTATTTTTTTCTAATTTTGATGCAAAGCAGTTTAGTAATGGTTGACCATTTGTATAATCTAAATACAGATCTGGTTAGCTTCCTATTAAGGTTAGACTGTACTGCCAAAATCCCGCTAGAGACAATATACTAAAAAAAAATAGAAACTCTAAAATATTTATTTCCTTTGCATACTTACAATCATATTCTCTAAAGCATGCTTTGCCAGCCAACAGTTTAAAAATACAGGAATAAACAGGTTTCTTAGGACTGGCCAGAAAATCTGAAAGAAATTAACAAATTAATTACAAGCTTTTCTAGGAATATTCTGAGGAACAGAGCTTTTCTGTTCAAGCAGCAATGAAACACTTGGTAAAAATACTTACGATTAATGGGTTTCTAGTGTGAGATATGGCTTTAAATATAATTTTTTCTTCCTTTGTGATTAACTGTATGCAAGATTATTTGATAAAATAAGAACAGGTAGTTTTCACTGCAGACATGAGTGATTCTTATATTTTTATAATCAGCTGGCTTTTATTATTGATTGTGCTGTAGTTGGTGTTAGAGGGTTTTGGGTTTGTTTGTGCCCTATCAAAAAGGAAGGAGGAAAGTGATCTATATTATTACTTCACTCAAGTAGCAAAGTATCTTATTGACAAATTTCTGTTCCCATAGGCACAAACTCGCCATACATCCAAGATTCAAGGTTACTTTAAAAAAAGATCTGTGCAGCTATAAAAGTGCAATATGCAAATATATTAATTCAAATATGTTTACCGTGATGATGAAAGGGACAGCATTAATTATTTCCAGGAGAAAGGGTATTCTCAGAATTTGTTCCCAGATATTTCCCTTCAAAGAAAAGGAAAAAAATCCACAATGTCACAGTAGGATTACATATAGTTCTGATGAGAAATATATGTGATATTCCAATGAAACATATGGAATCTCTCCCACTACCTGAAATTCAGGAAGATAATTCATCTCAGATTTAAACACATATGATGGATGTGAATATAGAATATAGACCACTCTGAATTCTTTTTCTTACTGTTGATCATAATGTACCTCACATAATTTTAAATTTATATTTTTACTAGAGCAATTCTCTGACTCCATATGCTAATATATTTCCTTGCTATGACCTAGTTAGTAAACTTAAATGAATTCTAATTGTGTTCACTAGTCAATGCATTCACTCAGCTAATGAAGAGCTTCATTAAATTAAGTTTTCATTTTTTTCAGAGAATAATAAGCTCTTGTTGTCTTCTATTGCTCTTTTAGGTACCTTGGAATCACACATAGACATCCCATCTCTACTTTTTCACTCTTTAAAAGTTAGTTTACTTTTATTTTTACATGCACACTTACAGATAAGGAGGTGATGTTCCTGTCCTAAGAAATTTATCTTTTTAATAATTCAGTGAATCTTCATACAAGTAACTGACTATCTTGCTGGCAAACTCTTTTATCTACAACTATTTCTACTTCTTTTTCTTGGAAGCCTCTAAAGCTTTAAAATCCTACATTGCAAGGCTTTAGCTTTTGATTGTGCCAATTTTTTTCTTATCATAATGTTTATTGACTTGGAACACTTTAAAACTAGAGACAAAGCCCCAGTACAGCATTAAGAGTTGCAGAGACATATGTGCAAAGGAAATGCTCTGCTCAGAAAATTTTACCATCAGATCAACTGCTTGAATTACCCCTATGCACATGTCACTGCCCTGTAGTCCATACTCATGTTTGTTATGGATGATGAGCCATGCTTTGTACATCCTTCTGATAGAAGTTTGTGGCAAAATATGCAAATATGTCATATTTTCCAAAGAAAAAATACCAGCTTTTCTCTTAATCTTTGATCATTAGCATTTGGTAGTCACATTAGCATGATAGTCACAGAGTTTTTATTACTCTTTATTACTCTTTTTCTTCCTCTTTAATACTGCTAATCCTGCTATTAAGATATTAATTTATTAAGTATTAAAAAGAGGAATGAAGATAGGTGAGGGAAAGATAGAAGTATTCTGCAGTGAGTCCTTCCTTCCTTTGCATTATCTTTACTCAGTATTTTTTCTCTGCCATTTGTTTTGGAGAGGGAAATAAGGAAAAAAATCTAGTGTTTAATATTTGAATTAGGACTACAACATCAAGTTCTATATTTCTGCCACAAACACTTCAGTACATTTCAGGGCTTTTTGGAACTTGATCTTGCTTACATGAAATTAGAGGTCTTCCCACATACTTCAATGAAACAGGGAGTAATCTCTTAAGTTGCTTACTGCTAGCAATAGGATAGGGATAATAGTACTTTTTTTCCACGTCTGAGCATTGGCTGTGGATGATTAAATGTTGGGATGAAAATCCATAGATTTAAAAAAGAAGGTAGTTGAACTTTAGTGACTTACAGCTTTACAAATGCTGTATATCAAGACTCCATCATAGGTAAAGCAATAACAATGCATGATATACCATGGCAGTATTACAAGAATTTGCAGTAGAGCATTACATTTTCAGTTGCAATAACATATTCTTTCCCGTTAAAATAACTATCTGATATAACCACTGAAAATTAAATACAAACTCCATAGCATATAAAATTCTTTTTCCATTTTTAAATTTTCACACCTGGAAAACATTGTACCTAAGAGGCAAGGATTGTCATCTTCCATGTAATTGTAATTGGTGGGAGTCAGATATACCAGTGAAATTATGAGGCTGTAAACTGAGGGGTTTTGGTAAGAATAATCAAGATAAAATCTAATTTTTCAAACTGATCCATTTCATAATTTCACTAATTTCTTTGTTTTTAATGTTAAGAGCTTTCTTCTTTGCATTATAGAGAAGAAATGTCACATAATTCACTTGTGCAGGCAAAATGCCTGTGTGGATGGGCTCCAGGTAATTAGGGATGCGTGCAGCTGTAAGATTCTGGCTTCCACATAAAAATGCATCATGTTGTCTGCAAATCTGCCTTTTGCAGTGAGAATGTGTGGTACTGCCAAAAGCAGCTAAGACTGCTTCTGCACAAGTGATAGGGTAGGATTGCCAGATGTCTGTGACAAGTTTTGACAATGGAGATTTCTGATGCAGACATCTTTCAGGGTTCTGGCCAAGGGCAAACCCTCATGTAGTGGTTTAAACTGTGAGAATGTAGATTGTAAACCATTCCTTCTTGGATCTAAGTGATCAGCACTATAACACAGTTCTACGTTCTTTGGATTCCTCCCCATATAAAGGCAATAACAAATGCAAATTCACTGTACAGTAGTAGCACTATACACTACTATCTCCTTGCTATTCTGCATGTTGAATCATTTCTCATATGTCATCAACCAGGTATCAGAAAGGTAAATTCCTTGGAGTATTCTCTTATTATTCTCTTGCTTTATTTATTTTAGAGGTTATTTGTGAAATCCTACTAATGTGCACATGAATACAAACACAGTCATCTCTTTCTTGTTGTTTTCTTCCTGGCTAATTCTCTGACTTACACCTAAATCGTAGAAGTCTTGAAAGTGCTGGCATAAAATAAGTAATCTGTCACAGATTTACATGAACCAAGACACCTTTGGTCACCCTGTGACCATGTCTTACAGTGGGTGAAAGCAGAGCCTTCTTGGCTTTGAGAGACTGCTGTAAAACTAAGAAAATAGGACCAGAGGCAAGAGGGTGTTTTGCATCAGGTGGATTGCAAAACTGCATTTCAGTACTTTTATTGTTCCTTAGATTAGTCCTTAGATAAAAATCCTCCCCTTATGGGGCGTGGAAATACAGCCATGATAAAATTGCCTTAACTTCTGTGACAGGTATATGCAGCAAATCAGGGCAGCAGAGCTTTACATCCATCACACTCTAGTAAGTGACTTCTCATGGAAGCTGACTTGCCAGTATTTCTCTCATCTTCTCTGCTCACTGAAATTGGTGCAGATCACAAGCAGAATGGATAAGGATAAAATGCTGCCCAATAAACTTAGGAACAGTACAAATCATGATTGCCCTTTACTATTTTGCCACTAGGCATGTAAATTTTGGATAGTTTCTGCCTATAATTGATTTGCATTTGTAACCACCAACTCCTAAATAATACGTGCTCCAAGGATTAAGAAGAATAATTTTTAGACAGCTTCTTAGCATTATTGGGCACTAAAGGAAACATTTATGGCATAATCACTTGATAAGCAAACTAAAGAACAAGTCTCTAAATTCAGTGGTGGCTCTGATAGCTACTGAATGTCAGTAATATGAAAAATAATAATAAAAAAAGATGATGCTCCAAGATATTTTCAGCTTTAGAAACTAAATCTTTTTGTATTTTCTTTGAAAAATGATTTTAAATGATTTTAGTACTTTTCTCCTGAAGGTACTAAAAATGCAGAGAACCTAAAACTCACTAGGATAGAGCATATGAAAATGAAATTATGAAAACTGAATAAAAACATTGGAAAAACATAAAAGAGAATGCAAATACAAAAACACATCGTATTCACTTCAAATGGTTTCAGGGCATTTTGCAAAGATGTTCCAGTAGCATCAGCGAGATGGATAACACAAGTATGTAGATATCCATATTATTTTTTTTTTAAAGTACTAGTTTTTTGGTGTGCAGTTTTAGAGGCCTGAGACTTGAGTTATACATACTGAGTAGCTGCAGCTTTGACATCAATGGGAATCATGTGCAATGCATTATGGATAGACAGAAAAAAACGTGTAACTGAAAAATCAGTATCAAAGAATAAAGATCACTTCAGAGAATGTGTTTTTAAATTACAGTGTGCCAGTGGACAATGGAAAATAAGGAAAATTTAATTTCTGACTTAATTTCTGACGCTCTAGATATTAGAGTTTGCTCATAAATTTAGGAAACAGGGCTTCCTGTGACAATATCCATCCTCTAGAAGTGTGTTTTTCTCAACTTTTTGCTTGTTCATCAGTGTGGGCACAGGTACATGAACTTTATACTGAGACATTTAACTTAGTTACTTTTTGTAATGAATTATGCCTAAGAGAAACTAAAAGTACTTACCTTGTAGCTTAGATAACTTAGCAGTAGAGTTTCAAAGAGACTTATTACAGCCACAGACACCTTCAGTGAAGTGAAAAAATATGAGTATTAATACTGGCTTCTATAGAATATATGCTATTAAGCATTACAATGAAAATAAAAGATAATATAAAACAGCTTTTCTGTGTATCCTCTGAAAACATCTCAGCTAACAGCATTTAGCATGAAGCTTAGATATTGTTATTTTTCTGAGTAAAGCACAGGCTACATCAAATGAGTTCCATTTCTCTTCTCCAAGTACAGCACTCCAGAGATCCAGCAGCATGGCCTTTCCACAGTGTTCAGAGAGCTGCATACACAGTCTGTCAGATTGTTTCTCAAGTTTCTCAAGTTTCATTTGTCTGTTCCTAAAAGGTAGCAAGACCTTTTCACAGAACAGAGAAAGAGAAGAAGGAAGCTGTATAAAATGGAAGCCAGTCACGTCTTTACTTTCCTGTGAAGATGTTATAAATGTGTGGAAAAGCAAACATTCTTCTTACTGTATATAATTCAGAAAGTTGAAAAATTATAAAGATGAATCATTATTGATTTTAATATTTAAATGCAGCTGAGATCAACTTACCAGCCTTCACTTGACTATATATTATTAGTATATGTATTATGTAATTTAAAAATATTTAAATAGTCAAATATGAAAATAGTAAAAAAAATATTTAGAGCTTCAGAGATATTAAATAACTATAAAACTTATTTGTATAGCAGGTATTTGTATTTTAATGCGTATTGTGGGAATATTCTATCAAGATGTACAAATTTAGCTGAAGCATTAAGCCTCAGGATTTCTCATTTTAAATTAATGCTCACTAATACTGAAAATTTGGAGGAGTGCACTATTTGCACTCACAATATCATTAGCTGGAGTTAAAAAAGATGCTATGGATTGGAAAATTATTAATATATCCAATCAAAGTAGATCAGTTTCTCCAAGTGATTATTACTGTTTTATATAAACTCAGGTTATATTTTCCAATAAAAAATAAATCTTTTTTTGCAACTGTTGTACATAATCTATTAGGAATGCATGTGTATTTACACATGCATACACATAAACATAGGTATAAATTCCTCTTTATCAAATAAAGTTACTAGAATAAGACTATTCATAAGCAAATAAATATCTCAGTGTATTTTAATTAAATTTTACAGTAATCTGAATGTGTAGGTCAAAAATGATTCAAACTGTGCATACTCTAAGCAAGGAATTGAAAGATATTTTCATTAAGAGATTCTTCCCTTAGAAAAATTGTGTATTATAGAGGTACAAATTATCATAATGGCATTGCACCAATCATGGTGAAAGAATATAATGGGGTATATTCCAGAAACTTAATTAATTCTTAGTAGAAAAACACATTTCACAGGGAGAATTCCAACAGCACTGTCCTCAAGTTAAAAAAAAAAAAGTGTTCCCAAAATGAGCAGGCCTCAGGACACTGAGGATTGAACCACAAACTTCATGACATCTCCCACAAAGTACTGATGTTGTGCCTCTTTTGTGACATACCCCTCTACACTTGTAAGCTTCTATATTATGGAGTAATTTTAGGTATCTAGTGTATCTAACAAGGAAGTCCATGAAGCATGTCAAAGGCTACTCATAAGCAAATATGAAATTTAAACTCATCACTAGAGTAAACAGTGACTACACTTCTTGACTCAACAGAGCTTGATAATTCTAAGAGAAAGACCATCTAATTCTACTTTTTTAATAAGCTTCAATACATTGTAAATATATTGTAAAGGCATATAAATTCAAATCAGTTAGATAAGCTTATTTTTTGCTGTACTTGGTGTTCAAGTAGATTTCCTTGCTAATATCAACTTTAACATTGCTACAATGCTATCAATCAATATAATCTACAGTTTTTAAATGGAAATCATTGAATTGGTCATTTACATATTACCTGTAATCCCCATAAAGGTAAGCTTCGGTTCACCCAAATAATGGGAGACCTGTTCATTAAAATAAGAAAATAAACATGAAATTAATCAAAATCTGGTATTTTGAACAAAAAAGAAAAAAAAAGCTGTACACGTGACTGGAAATTAGAGCAGCCTTATTTAAAAATATTCTCAGTAATAAAAACCTCAAATCAGTAGTTATCTACTGAGTATCCACATTGCTTATATTTCTAACCCAGAGCCAATCATTAGGTTCCCTGTTGGAAATTGGCAATCCTTTTGTGTGAACTTTTTGCTCTGTGTAATGGTATAATGGTATAAATGGTATCTAACTCTCAGGGGTCGTGGTATCTTGGAAAAATCATGTTGTCTTAGTATTTACTAGTCCCAATGCTAATAGGCACTTGGTACAGTACCCACTGGAATGTGACACACTCAATGGCATGATACTTTACTGTCAGCCATTTGCTGCTAATCAGAACTGTTTTTTAAATAAGGACATCCATTCTTTTTCTGCAAGGTATAAGCATCAGATCTCACAGGAGCATCCAGTCCAGCAGGTCACTTATGCAATCAGTGCATAAGTGCATAATAATAATTACAATATTAAAGGCAGCTTTGAACAGTCAGAAACACAATTGCTTGAGAGTTACAGAAACATCACTATTATATGTTAACATGTCACCATTCCAGATGGAAATGGATTTGTCTTCCTGTTTTCCTCCCCTTCCCACCATTATGCAGACTTTTGGTTTGCTTTTGTAAATTAGGAACTTACCAATCAATTGTTCCAGGTGTGTAGTTTTGGTTGGTGGAACAACTCCGATTTAATTCCTTACTGATGTTGTCATACCATCCATGCAAAGTCCAAATCCATTAGCAAATGTATTTGGGAACACAGTCATAAAAACATATGGGAGGAAAGGGATATTAATTACATTATTAAATATTCTATAAAATACATACTATAGTTTGAAATTCTAGGCAATGGATACAAACGTTTTTAAAAGTAAAGCAGCTTTTAGAAAGAACAACTGTATGTGCTCCGCATCTATAGATAAAGGACTATGAAACATTTCAGGTTACATTTTTTAAAGATTTGTCTTCAAATATGTTCTAATTTACAAACAAAACAACTGAAATTATACTTTGTAAAGCTAAACCAAGTATACAATATATACTGAAGATCAAGAGATACTAGAAAACCTATCACATGGGTAGGCTGTGATAGAAAGAGCACATATACCTGCCACACTCTCAGCAGGAAAGGCTGCAGCAAACTCCACTTGATATCCTCTTTTGAGGATGTGAGGAGGGCCGGATATTAATGCAGCAGTAATTCAAGTACAAAATTACTGATACCCAATTAAAAAAAAAAATTGGCTGCTATACACATATGAGGTTAACTTGCCCTGAATTGCTGGAACAAATCCTCCTCTCAAATGGTCATGTGAGGAAGTGGGAATATATATTTCTCTAAACAGGAAAAATATCCTTGCTTATACTTGGCAAGCAAGGTCAGTAAAAAAGAAAGGGATCTGTAGACCACAGATTAGCAACAACTGTGTTTTTATCAACTATCAGTGGACAGGTGGTAAATTGTATCCATTAATAAGGATGCTTTATGCTTTAAGCTCTTTCCCGTACCACCTGCTGTGCCTGAAGGAGTAAATGAAATCTACCAACTTGTGCAGGCATTTCTGAAAAACAGGAAATAAATCTGATGAGAAGCATTCCTCCTGGATTTGTCACTTTAAAAAGAACAAGGCAAAAATGTTTTCTGTGGCCACAATCTCGGCACGCTGAGTAGTTTCTTTCACTGGGCTGTGATGCAATATCTAGGAATTTTTTCTTTCATATTACCAATTTTTAAGAATGCATCCAAGTGGTAGTTTTGGTATCAAGCCCTCAGTATCTCTATGGATAAAACCATTAATATTAATGGGGTAAAATTTTGGCACAGGGCTAGGGTTTGTCTGGCACAGCTTCTAGGACTGAGGTCTTAGTGAGCATGCAGAAGGACTTGTCTGAAACTTCTGAGCCAGACAAATGTTATTCAGAGACAGAACAAACTAACTAGTCTCCTAAATGTACCACAACACAATATAAGGGAATAACATCTATAGAAAATATAAATACAGTCTCTAGCTGGTGAATTGTTAAATATTTAGTTTGCAGGAACAAACATGTTAGGAAAGGTGTGAGGAATTCAGCAGTCTGTAGATGACTATGAATATGCGTCTTTACCTATAAACACAAAAATATCAAAGTATATCTGTGGCAGTACTGATGCTCTAACCTGTCCAGCATACCCAGACATCACCTGCAGTATAACATACTCATCTGGGCTCACGAGAGGTCTCATGAAAAAAGAATAGCAGCATGCCAGAAACTATGATTAGATGTGAACTTTTAAGTCCCTGAGTTGCTGTGCTTAATATGCCTACATTTCTAAGGATGGATTTTCTCTTCTCCATCACTGTGAAAAATTTTGCAAAAACTTCACAGCTTATTTCCACCCTCCATTTCCTCTCATTGAAGAGACATTCTAAGAAACATGTAAAGTAAAAAACCAGGTTTTTGAAGGTCTTGTTTTTCAGGGAGACTTTTTCATGACCCTGAAGTAAAATCCTAAAAGAACTGTTACATAAACTAGCCATCAGATATTTGCAATTTTACATAGAAATGTTATGTAATAATGCAACCAAAATATATATGTTTGCACAATTATATCTGATGCACAGTATCTAAGCAGAGAGCCAGGATTATTTTAGCAGTAAAGTGAAAAAATTGTATTGTTATTTTAATTCTTATTTCCATTTACAGTGTAAGACTAGCTTTATAATTCATTCAAGATATCTGTAAGACATAAAACCAAATCCCTGTTGACAGAATATCAAGTATGTATTTGTTAATTTATTTCTTATAATTTAAACAATGCTTTAAGAGTAGAAGTGAGAAAAAACCTCAAACATTACCATCCAAGTCCTTGTGTAGGATCATCCAGGAGCACACGAACTATGTATAAGAAACAGCTTAGTAGCTTGAGAGAGAAATTGAATAATCGTATTCTCAGACCTATTTTGAAGACAAAAGAAAATAATGAAATAAATCCAGGTATTTAAACCCACCTTTAAGGTAAAACTAAAAGGAACTGGAATAGTCATGGGGTAACAAAGCAAAGGTCCATTTAGCCAGTCACCTGTCCCTGACAATTGGCACATCACATGGAGGAATGTAAGAATAGACATGTTGGATACACAAATAGTGCACTTTTCCATCCTCCAGAAATCTCAGTCAGTTTTAACGTAAATAACTGCTCAGTCATTTGTTTGAAAACTACTCTATGCCATTCATCTTTATTGATGCCATTTTTGGGCCTTTGGTAGTTT